TGGCTACAAATTGGTGATTTAATGATTGACTGTCGAAGATGTACGTCTGGATATATCAGATATATCCTGATTCACATCTAGTAGGCCTTGAATTTCTGGCTTGGTCATGTTTAGCTAGCAAGCGAGCGAGCATCGCAAAGCACAGCATAACTTTGGAAGTAATTGACGGAAGCGGGAGAAGAAGAGAAGAATGGTGCACAGCTGATACGAATGCGGGCTCGGCCGTTGCAATGCCAATGTCAAAGTGTCTGCGTTGCCCTCGCTCGATGAGACCAAGTCAGGTAAGCTGGTGCATCCTTTCGTTCCATAACCTCTGGTAGCATGGCGTGTGATCCTGTGACGTCTGTGGGAAGTGTCCGCTCAGATACTGACGGACGTCCGTGGTGGTTCGCGACCTGTCAGAACCACGTAGGGCAAGGCAGAGAAGCGGCTTGCAAGAGTCTAAGCTGGAAACTTCCCAACGAGTTCTTTCTAGCGGTACGAAAACGCATCAGGTCCAACTAGAGCAGAGATGTACCTGGATAATCCCCCGTTCGACAATTAGGCTGATAAATCCTTCCCCTCCAAGAAGCCCTGAAAGGTGGAATTAGAAGCCCATTTCTCTCCGTTAAAGTTTCCAGGCCTCCAAGTGAAACTTTTGAGTTATGGTGCCAGTGCGGAAGCTCTCTCCAACTCAGGGACCGTCTTGCGGCCTGGGCAGCGCAGAGAACCACACCTCCAAAAAGGCAAGCTAAGCCAACAAGACAGGGATGCGGGAGATTGGCAAATTGGGGCCACGGCGAAAACCAGTGACAAACATCAATAGTCAGCTCTGTGAGTGCGAATTGGAACTGATTTCAGGTGGCCCGCCTGCTCACTCTGCCACCGGGGGAACGAATGGCGGGTGCAGGGGTGTGAGGGGCACTGATCATTTTCGAACAGTTTCCCGCCTGGGAGGATTGGAGGGGGAAGGGGAAGAAGAAGGTCAGAAGGGGAGACCCCTCCTTTTCTGCGAATCGCTACATTGGTACCAATTTCTCGTTCTTGCGCAACCTCTATCTTTTCCACTCTCGCACATTCGCAACTTCGGACGGGGGAAGTTCCGAACAAAGCTACTCTTTTGCTCTCTCACATAATTGCCTATCGGTCTTTGTGCAACTTTATAAGAAGAGCAGTAAGCCTCTCTACCTCCCGCCCCTTTGTGCGCATGCGCAAAAGCTATCTTTGTAGCTATAGCTAGCTGTACAGAAAAAAAAAGTTTCGAAATTGGAAAGCTGACACAACACGCGACAATAGACGGGGTACACAACAAGACTTCCTCTTCCACGGGCAAACACGAAAAAATAAAGATGTCTACTACCACGACGACCACGACGACGGCCAGCGAGGGCATTACGGCCGAGTCGATTCTGCGCCTGTTCCCCGACATCGACACGAGCACCGAGGCCCTTTCCGGTCACGATGCCGAGCAGATTCGGCTCATGGACGAGGTGTGCATTGTGTTGGACGAGAACGACAAGCCTATTGGCAATGCGAGCAAGAAGGCCTGTGAGTAGTTTCTCCTGTCCTCCTGGGCCGTCTGCCGGTTCCGCGTTGTGTATAAACCCTCTCCCTCGAGTTGGTTGTTGCGGTGACTAGCCAAGCGCTGCCACCTTGTGACAAGGACAGAACGAGAGCGCGCGAGAGGAAGCAATAGAAGGGGGAACTACAAGACAACACAGTCAACTGACACTGAACTCCCCAAAACAACAGGCCATCTCATGACCAACATCGACAAGGGCCTCCTCCACCGCGCCTTCTCCGTCTTCCTCTTCGATCCGGAAACCAACCGCCTGCTCCTGCAGCAGCGCGCCACAGAAAAGATCACCTTCCCCGACATGTGGACCAACACGTGCTGCTCCCACCCGCTGGGGATCCCCGGCGAGACGGGCGCGAACCTCGAGGATTCGGTCGCGGGCGTCAAGCGCGCCGCGCAGAGGAAGCTGGAGCACGAGCTCGGTATCGACCCGAAGCAGGTGCCCTTTGATGACTTCCACTTCTTGACGAGGATTCATTACAAGGCGCCCAGCGACGGCAAGTGGGGAGAGCACGAGAGTATGTTTTGCCCTTCTTTCCCATTCCCTTTCTCTTAGGAAGTTTGGGTAAAGAAGACAATGTATAACCTTTGCTAATTCGGTCACAGTTGACTACATTCTCTTCATCAAGGCCAAGGTCGACCTCAAGCCCAACGAGAACGAGGTCCGCGCGACGCAGTACGTCAGCGCCGACGAGCTCAAGAAGCTGTTTGAGGACCCCCAGCTCAAGTTCACCCCCTGGTTCAAGCTCATTTGCAACTCGATGCTGTTCCAGTGGTGGGAGAGCCTCGACTCTGGGCTGGAGAAGTACACCAACGAGCAGGAGATTCGTCGCATGTAAATGAGAACGGATGACTGATTTTCTGATGGCAAAGAGACCTGGCAACGTGGAAGGACCCCAATGGTCCGTCATGAGAGAGCATTAGACGTGGAGTTTTGTCTCGTCGTTGCAGTTTTTCTTCTCTGTCTCCCTCTCCCTATCTCTTGCATGTGGCGGTAAAAAACAAAACAGACACTGTTGAAGTGTTCCCTGCCCTTCTTTATTTTCCGAATTTTCGTAATCCTAGATATCCCCCCTTTTTCATCATATGAATACGACTTGGGGCGTTGGCTGCTGGCCACGTTGAATTGAAAAACTTTGTTCTAATGGAAAATGTGGCCTGGTGATCGATGATGGCGGAGGGGATTTCAAGTTATGCTTGTTGATGAGAACGGGCTGGCGGAGATTTCTACTTCGTCCCTTCTCGTGGAACACCAAGACCGGTGGTAGAGGAGTCGTTAGGAGCAACGCGGAGTCCTCTGGGCTTAGGGAGCCTTGTCTCGGGATGGCTGTTTGTTTTGAGTATGCAGCTGGAGGGAGGCTACCTTACTAAGAGGGGCTTTCTAGATTCTAATTTGATGCTCAATTATGGATGCCGGAGGAGCTTTTCCCTACAACGGGAGCGTAGTACGCTATTTATACGTTGGAGTTGCTGAATGAGGCCGTTGTGGATGATCATGGGGCAGCTTTGGTTTCGTTCATCCTCGGGTTAGTGCTCCATGAGAATGGGGAAAAGCTCCCGCAGTGCTTTGATATCTGCGAGATAGCAGAGCAGGTTGATACGTCTGAAGATTAGCATTATACTGTAGTTGGGGATTTGGGAATCAATTGCAATTCAGACTTCCGTATCGCTGGATACTCGAAAAGCTTGAAAAAGACCCTCACCGCGGGACTTCCTAATTACTCTATCAATGCCGCGAGTACAGAACCTACATCATGTTTCTACTGATGGATTTTGATGGTCTTTGCTCATAATCCGGAGGAATCCGGAAAACGAGGAGCATGGATGATCTGCTTTGGCTTGTCACCAGATGTTTCGTATGCAGGGAGTCAGTCGTGATGGAATCGACCCATTCCAGAATGGTGAGCTACTTTCTTGGCCTACTCGAACGGTTTCCTTTGTCTTTCAAAACCTCTCGGATAATCTTAATGACCTGAGATCAAATAAGAGGAACAGCTACGGTATACAAGGGCCAGGATGTTTCGAGGAGCCCGATTCTAAAGACGAGAACGCTTGATAAGTCCATGGTTCCTGTCTTGGATGCCCACTTACCTTGCGCCTCTTACGCCAGGTGATTATTGTCTGAGTTGTGCTTCCGGGTATAACCAGAACGTCCGTCAGTGACCCTAGACGCACATGTTAGACGTGCTACTCGCTTGTAAGGAGGCAGCAGCTTCCTCTTCGGACGTTATTATCGTAATTGTCATAGCTACAGGGCCAAGCAACGCAATGTTATGTCGGGGGTCTTGGTACAGAGGCTAGGCACTGCTCAGGTGAGCTTCACCATCGCTGATTTGAAGTTCGACAAGTATAAGTAAACATTATAATATCATACTGAGCGATTGGGGCTTATCATGGACAGACTGGAAAGGCGGGCGATAGTATTGACAACCTTGAAATAGACCTCAGTGAAGACATTGCCGTTGTCAACAGGTGAAAGCGCACCTGTCTGTGCAAGTACACAATTAGCATATATTCATGATCACAAACAGATACATGTACGTCAATCGATGGAATTGAATATGTTTCCGCCCAGTTTGAATCAGGAGCCTCCACCTGTACCTGTCATGGCAGCAACATCTAGATCCAAGTCTCATGTTTACCAGAGATTAAAAGAGAGCTATCTCGATACGTTGTACATCACAAAGCTTAACTGTCGTCATCTAGGTTGCTGAGAACGCCCAATAAGGATTCTTCATCGAGTGACATACTGTAAGTAAAACAACATGAACCGGTTGGCGTGCCTCAAAGGAATTATGTTTTGACCTTAGGTGTCCAGGTATCTTGTTGTCAGAAACAACGTTAATTTAGGTACCAAAACAACGCAAAGGTAGGTACGTCGCGAGCGCGACATGTAACCTGTACATGTCCTCGGACTTGCCCAGGTGATGAGTTGCACCTTCCATTCACTCGCATCTTGCCTCGATGCTGGGCCAGGCAAGCACGATGATGTAATATGAGTGACATCAACCCGCTGTTCTGGACTGACAAGTTCCATTCCATTCCATCTCGTTTAACATACATCAGCAACGACGTTGCTGTTCAACGGCGAACTCAATTCTACAAGGTTTCCGCTCTACTTTTTGAAAATGCCCTCAAAGGCCGTCTAGAAGGGGCTGGTCTCACCCCTAGAAGCTCTTCTGGGGTTTCGAATGTATACATGCCATTCGCTTTCAACTTCGTTCTTCACAGCTAACTCGGAGCAGAGGTTGGAGAGATCCTGTTCTCCATCATTCAAAAACCACAGACGATGTAAACGAAGGCCAGCCTGGCAGCACGAGATTCCCGAGAGCAAGGCACACAATCGATCTATCAACGATGAGCGCCGAGTAGTACGATGCAGCAGTGCCCAACCAACGGTTGAACGATATTCACATCACTCCTCATACTTGGCAGAGCACTGCATATGCACCCCACGTGCGAAGGATGGCGCGGTAGTCCAGCTGGCTTATCTCATTACTCGTCACTGCATCTGCACCTCTTATCTCGGCAACATTCCTTGCCTTTGCCCACACAACGCAAACCAGCAGAGCCTCCAAGACGCCAAGACTATCCGCCTGACACTCACTGCAACTCATCCCACGCAGGTGTTTGTTGGGTCAAGCCTGGGAATGGGAGCTGATTCCCACCCTCCCAATGAATCCTTTTTCCCGGGCTGAAGCCCAAGCTGGAGCGGTCGCGGGACACGGAACCCGCCACTGTGTGCGGTACATCCGGACACCGAACCCGGGAACGCCGTGGACCCTAACGGAGCTGATGGGGATCAGTGGGACGCATTGGCCGCAGGAAGTGCCACAACGTACTATGCCGTTATTGGCATGTACAGCCGCTGCGATTGGTCGACTTCGGGAGTTATGTGACGGTTGATCCAAAGATACAGGCCACAGGCCACTCCCGACTGACGATCTCTAGGATACCTGACCCAACGACAGGGTCTCGCCAGCCTGCCTTGCCCCGCACACCGGCTGTCTTCCTCCATCTCCATCTCTCGTCACCGAGACATGCTCCAGTGAGGATGCCTTGCTCTGCGGCATCCGCCGATGCTCCTCAACCATTCAACCACACTGTTATTAATCAGGCCGCTTCTACAAGATCATCCTCTGCACTAGGTGGAGGCGAGCGGCGTTGGCTAGACCTGCATACCCGTACACACCAGGTCGGGATGGCCACCGCCAGTCCTGATGCGGTACACGAACACATGCCCAAATCTCCACGGTCAACGGCCTGGTCTGTTGCTTGAAAGCTGCAGCCCAGGTCACCCCAGCCCGCCCTCCCCCTCATCAACGTTTACGCCGCTGTCCTCGTGCCACCTACTATTACGGCATATCCTGATAGTTTGAATCCCATCAGCATGGTTCTGGCTAGTGTTGAGGCAAGCCAAGCCGGGTATCAAAGGTGCAAAGGTAACTTTGCCCGCATACTGTCGGTGCAAGCAGCATGGCACGACTGGCTCCCCCCTCTGCTCTATGCCGTGCGGGCATCATTGATGGTCGATCCATAGTTCTCGCCGTGTTCAGCTCCTCGCCCTTGTCGGAATCAACAAGCAATGTAGAGTACCTATCAACTACCGCCACCGCAGTCTCACAGGCGCGTGTTGATCCAATGCCCTGTGCCTATCTTTCCGTACCTACCCTCAACGTCCTACATCCCACAATCGCTACAGTCTCAAGGTTTCTCAGCTATCTGGAGACCATCCCGCGCAGGAGTTCCTCGACTCTCTCCACAACCTCCACTTCCCCCATCATCCCAGCTCGTGGTCTCACTCCCACTATCCCTATCCCTCGCACTCACTATCTCTCAGACTTCTGCCAGCCTACCCCTAGTGTATCTAGTGACACTCCCCAAGCTACATAACCCCCCAGCTCCTCTCCGCTCCTCACCTGGTCCCCCTTCCGCTCCTCTCCTCTCCTCATCTTATCGTAATACGCTTTGGATAGACTCTCACCAACAACACTGTTTGGCTTCCTACCAAGACAAGGATAAGGATCAAAGTCCTTTCTGTATCGAGAGTTCCTCGTCTCGAAGGCCCCAAGAATAGGGGGGCAGATCTCTGGACACGATCACAGCCGCGAGCTGTGCTTTGTTGCTAGACTGCTACTCACTGGTCTCGACCAACATTCAATACCAACACCCATTCACATACTCTCAAACTCTCAACACGATACTCCTCCAATCAACGTCATTTGACAATCTGCCTGACAACATCCACCCACCAAATTTCTTTGCCCGTTTATCGCATATCGCGTATCGTGAAGACACTGCTGTCTCCCGCGTCTTGCTGACGACCCCATCCCTCAAACATCGAACTTCAACAAGCCTACCTAGCCAAAGGACGTAACCCGTCAAAATCATTATTGATGTCGGTTGACCTTCGTACAAGCCTCAATTGCCTTCGCCATCCATCCAGGTTTATGCCCGTCTCGAGAACACAACTCTCGAGAGACCATACGGGTGATAGTATACAGAATTTAAGTACGTCGGGTTCAAGCCCACTCCGGAGTGTCCCACCGCCAGAGTGAGATAGAGAGGCCCGTAATAGCGCTGACAAGAAACCACACAGATTCGTGAACAAGACAGGCTCTCCTGTCGAAAATTGAAGCCCGTCATGGAGCCCGTAAGCAAAAGCGTCACCCTTGTCGAGCTCAAACGTTCTCTCGTGCCCCCGAAATGGGAGGATACCGTGCGTGTCATTGGCATGTCGGAGTGCAAGGAGGCCGGCCTTTCGCTGGCCCACGCCTTTGCTGCTGATGATCTTAGCCAGTATCTCCTTGATGCCGACGATATGGCGAACCTATCGGCCGAGTCGAAGTGGAAGCTGCACGTCGACATCATGACGTACATCGCAGCCGCCCACTCTCTTAACGGTATTGTCACCACCATTGGCTCAGACTACGATGCCGTTGCGCTGTGGTGAGTTTTGTGTCTCAGCCTTTTTCCTGCTTTACTCATGGAGGCATGGCATCTCATGACGACCCTGTCCCGCTCAGAGGCTTTCCCTGTCAAAAAGCAACATTGGACTAACATCAGACGGATCATAATAGGATGCCTCCTGGAAAGGACACTGATGGATGGTTGACTATCCTCCGCAGCGGGTTGTGGCGGCTCTATTTCCAGCTATCTGTGGAAGCTAGACGTCGATACTACGACGAGCTACTGCCTCTGCTGCATGACACCAAGCTTGAGGTCATGGGCGAGCGGGACAATGACTGCTACTACCTGGTCTACCTAGGGACCAAGCCCAACGCCCGGGGCAAGGGGTATGCGAAGAAGCTGATCAACGACATGATTGAGAGGGTACGTTGAAGGATCGCCATCTGGATTCTTTCCACAACTGTTGCATCTGGCAAACAACATTCAGCCTTGTAACAGCATTGTATCTTGGCTGTGTCCTGACTAACTCTTGAAACAGGCCGACGCGGAAAATCGTGCCGTCTACCTCGAGTCCAGCTCTCTGTCCAACAACGAGTACTATCTCAAGTATGGTTTCGAGTTTAAGCGCGAGATCCGGATGACGCGTGGAGACACACCCGTCAGCCTGTTCATCATGGTCCGCGAACCACGCGCGCACAAGAGCGGGGGAGGTCAGACATACTCAACCGTAGTCTCGAGCAACATCAAGCTGCAGATCAATGCCGTGATGAAGGAGACGGCCAGGGTCTGAATGGCGGAGGGTGTTGAAGTTGTGAGCATCCTCCATCCTTCCTTTCGACCTGGAAAACTGGTGATGTGATGTGTGTGCTGTGCGTTTTGTTTCTGCGTGTCGGGAGGTGGTGTAGTGTTACCTGCCTCTTTTGTGTTGACGATCCCTTCATTCATGGCTGCGGTCCTTGTGCGCAATGCTTGCCACCTGTGTCTCATGCTGACCACAGCTCGACTTTTTAACATTGACCTGAATGGGCGCGTCTGGTTCAACACCGACGCTTATGCGTTTGAAGCTCACTGTCCCTACTGTAGCAGCGATGGAATGATGTCTGTGTCGATTTTTACGAATGTTTTTGGATTCCGTCCTTTTAGTTTGCTTGTATCTACCGACTAGCTCTAGCCCTTCATTAGAATACTGACCGATTCACTCATTTCAATCATATCAATGGTTTGCGGTCTTTCCGCTGGTCCCTCGTCCCTTTTCAAGACCTCACTCGTGACAGCATACCGACCGGGTTGCTGACACCATGCGTGACTCAACACTCCCGGTGAAGCCACCATTGAGATTTTCCCCCTCTGCCCAAGGGACTTGTCCTCCCTACTTTAGCAATTCTGACATTTCCCTGATGCTTTTTCGATCCGCATCCGTTCTTATCTCCGCACACTTCTTGGCTTCCAAATCTAATAGTCGAGGATAGCCCAAGTCTCGTCGTCAATGGTGGTGTAAATCAGACCCTGGGAGAGCAGCTCATCCGCCGCGTCTATCGTGGCCCGCATGGCCAATCCCGCACCGCTCGAAATCTGGTTCAGGTGCACGCCCTCGTTGCCGCCGGGGGCATTGTTGATAAAGTTGAACATCTTTTGCGCGTTCGCCGAGACACCTCTAAGCTTGGAAGCCTGCGCGGGGTTGCCGCCGCCCGCCGCCGCACCACCGGCACCGTATCCATCTCCACCGTCAACGAACATGCCATCTTCACCTCCTCCCGCACCGCCGTTCGCCGCGGGACCGCTGCCGTCGGCGTTGAGGGGTCCCTTTGTGAAATAGAGGTGGACGTAGGTGGCCTCGAGGAGGTGGTAGTTGACCTCGTTGAAGTCGGTGACGGGGCGGATAAAGTGCGCGCCGACGTGGCGTTTGCCGTTGAACGACTTGAGGCGGCCCCAGACGCGGACGTGGCCCTCGAGCTCGAGCTTCTCGTCGGCGTCGTCCTTTTTATCCGTGTCGACCCACTTCTTCACCTCGATGAGCCCCGTGCCGTCGTCGAGCTTGAGGGTGATGTTTGTGGGCTGGGGCGAGATCTGGCGGATCTGGGCGACAAAGGTGACCTGGGTGACGGTGGCGCCGTCGATTTTGAAGTCGGCGCCCGGGTAGGCTTCTTCGGCGTCGATGACCTGCTTGATTGTGACGGGGCGGAGGGATTCTTCGCTGTAGGCTTTTCCGCCGCCGCCCTGGGAGCCACCGCCGGCGCCGCCTTGGGAGCCGCCGTAGACGAAGCCGCCTGCGTCGTCGCCGCCGCCTGCGCCGTAGGAGGTTTTTGTGAAGCCGCCGTAGGAAGCTGTGTAGGTAGGGTGAGTGGTTAGTTGTGGAGCTTTCGAGGTTTAGGGGAGTGGAGCTGATGTACTCATTGTGTATGTGGTATCTCTGAGAAAAGGTCTATGTGTTGTCGTGGATATGTTAGGGTTGACGGGGACTGTGTTTTTGGGGGTAAGAGGACGACGGGATGGTGGTTGTGGTGGGATGTGTGGTGGTGGTAGGTCGGGTGGTTTTGAACGGGAACGCGTCTTTTTGCCTGGCGACGCGACTGGGGGTTTAATTGATGTGCACGACGTGCAAAGTGCCACCCGCTGCCCGCTGTGGAATGCTGGTGCCCCGCGTTGGGACCATGACTGGATGAAAGCTGAGGGTGGGGGGCTCTGAGGTTCGAGATGACATAAGCTACATAAAATGGTCTGTGCTCAATGGCACCGGTTATCGGGAGCCGA